TAGATAAACTTTTCAAAGAATCTCTATGTATTTTCAACGAATCTCTGCAAAAGGCAAAAATACAAAAAAAAACACACAAATTCATACAATCTTCTTTACGGAAAATTGTTTTATTCAAAAATTAATTTATATTGAAGAATTTTATAATCCAATAAACGAAAAAATTTTTTCTTTCCTTGCAAAGTTTAAATAATTGTATAGAGATTAAAATATTGATAAATCTAACCATTATTGTACAACTTTGAAATTTATATTTTCTTTTATTAGCATATACATATTATATACATATTATACATACTTATATGTATATATATATATATATATATATGTATGTATTAAATATAATTTAAAATAAATCAAAAAATTTTTGTCATAATAATTATATTTATGTGATGAAACGTGGTACACAGGGAATACATTTATACAGTTTTTCAAGATTTATTAACTTACAATCGTTCTATGAAAATAATGAATTAAGAAGTTGCTAGCTATTTTTAAATTAATATTAGAGAAGTTTTTACGAATAAAACTTGCAAATTATAATTATAAAGTAAAAGTGGTGAATGTTTATTCACTAATTGTGTTCGTATGAAATACAATCGTTTTGAAAATATATATTAACAATTAAGCTATCAAAAAATGTAAAACATTTTTTAAGAATTTATTCTAAATGACTTGAAATCAATTTTTACTTTGACAAATAAGTAGACATTAGTAAATTAAAATTTGTTTCCAAATTTACTTTATAATAGTATAAATTCGTTTAAAATTAAGAATTAATAAAATTTGTTTCAATGTAGATATTACCATTTATTATTAATAACTCGTTATACGTTGATAATAATTTGAATTACAACGCAATCATTTTCAAATCACGTTTGAATTATTATTAATTTGATAAAATTATGTATAATTACTCGAAAAGATATCTCAGTATAATACAAAAATTGATGTTTTGTTAAATAAATTAGCACACATGGCAAGACTAGTATACTACTTTTGAAAACTGGCATCATCATTATTAATTAAAACAATGATTGTTACATAATAATAAAAATCACTATGACATCTTTTGTGAAATTAAGTTTAATTTGATTTTAAATCACACGATTGAATTATTTTATAATTATTTAAATGCAATTTACCATGTTGGTAAATTAACGTAAATTTCTCTATAAAACTTTATTCATAAATAATTATAATTATAATATTTAATAAGTAGCAATAGTAAATATGTCTAGTAAATACGGAGCTTAAAAAAACTATTTAAAAAAATAATAAATAATTTAATTTGGAAAATTTGTTTTATTATTATAAGTAGATTAAAATTCTTAAGATAAAATAATAATTATATATATATATATATATATATATATATATATATATATATTATACACAATGGAAATCACTAATTATAATTAAGGTTAAGAAAAGAAACAATAGATCTGTAAAACATTATGTTTATCTTTTTGAAGTAAAAAGCTTTACTTCTTTTCATATAGCTTTTTCAATAAAATATTATTAAAAATATATATAATTATGTTCGCTGTCAATAAGCTATTATTATCATGAAAATTATAGATTCAATTAAATCCTAAGTTTTTACAAGGATAAATTCCTGAAACTTCAATAACTTCTTATATTTTTATTAAAAAACAAATTTTTCGCATTAAAATTTATGTGGAATATAAATTTTGTATCTTGTGCGATAAAGCAATGTCCCATTAATATTTTCAAATCAGAACTACAATTATCATTTGATTAATCTTACTTTTAATGAAAGATCTATATTTTTATGAAAACATAAATAAACTAAATATGTTTTATATAAGTGACTTTTCTCCAAAAAAAAAATTATACCTAAATTTAAAAAATAAAATCTTGAAACTTATTTTCCATTTTAATCATCTTAATTTACTATAATTTATGAGTTTAATTAAGACAGTATAAAAAGAGAAAAGAAAAATGTCTAAATTAAAATAAAAGAAGCGAAACTATATTTGCAGCTCCAATGGAATAAATGGCACTCGTAAATGTAATCTAAATTTTACACACAACTAAATTTACCGTTATCTTCATAACTTTACTTTCATGGCTAAATAAACTCAACCGAGAATTTCGCTAACAAAACTCAAATGTAATTCAATCGAGCATCGATGTATCAATACATGTAGCCTCCACAAACGTGAAGATGAAATAAAGCTAGAGGCACACGAATTAATGTAGACATACATTATGGATAGAATAGATAGTGAAATTATTACCACATGTCCCAATACATGCAGAGAGTGAGAGGCCGAAAGAGAGAAGGCTCTCGTGTCATTAGGTTGTAGGACTGTATTTGGTCTGACAGTGAATTGACAGTCGCGTTGCGTCTTTCACTCGGACACTGGTCGGTTTTATTCTCGGCTCAACTCCGAGATTTATTATTAAGGCCTCGAGCTCTATTTGCTTCATTCATGTCCTTTTCTTTATTTTTTCCATTCGAACGTGAAGCTGGGAGTAAGTGAAAGCAAAAGTTTGTTTAGCTTGCAAGAAGTGATGAAATCCATTACTCGCTTCTGTTATTGATTCAGTTATTATTATTTTTTTATTATTATTATATTGTCGATCGTACAAAGGGTTGAAACCGCAACCAAATCATTTTATTATTTAGTGCATTGAGTTAAAAAGTACTTCATAAGAAGAATAGCTAATGAAAAATCGATTAGTACTTAAAGTAATAATAGCGATTAGTTATTATTTCATTGCTTAAAAAAATTACAATCAAACATTAGTGTGAATAATATAATTAATATTAATATTAAATGTTTAAGTTTAAGAATCTGTAATTATCTTTATTTTTTATATCTAATATTATTCGTGTAAGCCATATGTTAATATGTTAATATAGTGTAATTTTATACTTTTTTATATTAACAAATTTATAGCTTAATCGTATCATCGCATTAAAATGAGAAAGATTTTTTATAGTAAAAATATTCTAATCATGGTATTCTATCTAATCAAAGTAATTAGGATGGACCATTTAGTATGTATTAAAAATCTTTTACGTTATAATATAATTAATTTTAATTAAATTGTATTTTACGTGTTTATATACAGAATAATTAAGATAAGTCATAGTGCTTACAATAAAAAGGCATTGAGCTTACACATAAAACAGTCATCATAAACGTAGATATTTCAAGTTATATATTTTAAAATAAATATTAACGATTAGAAGCTTAACGTTAACTTGAGCCTAGCAGTTTGCATACAAACAAATAAAAAGGTTTATACAGCATATAGACAAAAATTTTTTTTTATCATAAATAAATAAAAATAACTATAATAAAATTATCGTGATTTTGATAATTTAGATGTTTATTTTATTCATTTTGCTTATTTAAATTCTTACCTTTTGTCTAATATTTTAAATAATTTGAATATTAGAATAGAATAATAAAATTATATAAACACTTACTCGTATTAACAATTTATTTATAAGAATTTTTATGCACAGCTAAACTCACGTAAGAGAAACTCCCCTAAACCTAATGGTCACAAATTATGTGTAACTTAGATGAATATTTATAATTATATTGTAAGCAATAAATTAACAGCTCAGCTAATTAATAGATTATTGAACTATTAAAAAGTGTCAAGTGAATACGGATGAAAAAGAAAAATGAGTATTTTTATAAAAAAATGGGGGGGGGGGGTGGAGGACTCGAAGTGACAGTAGTAACACACGTAACTACACACACTTTTGTATACCTATGCATGTGCTCAAGTTCATATAAAATTCCAGCGGCAAACGAAGCGAAACGAGTGCATACACATACTGTACGTAGGCATAAGTACACGTTGACGTCTTTGACAGGAAAATCGACACTCCGGTATACAAGCGAGTGAGTGCAATTCCTTTTAAGTTTCAGTAATGAAACCGCGTGCCAAAAAATTTTTTTTCACTCCTGGTCAAGAAAATTTATCATGCATAGCTAAAATGAAAAATCAAGCGAATATAACGGTTGCTGCTGTTTAGCGCATAACACAAACAAGATATTTACGAGATAAAAGTAAAAAAATATAATAGGGCTAGAATCAACTGACAACTTTAACAAAGTGTATGAATATTTGGTGCTAATTATTTTAGAATAAAATGAAATGGAAAATAATGCGCTTGAAATATTATAATTTTTCTGTTTGCGATTGACTAGTCTACATAGACAATGAATAACAGATTATTAATAAGACTATGTAAGTATTAAAATTAAAAATCCGCCTATGATATGTAGAATATATAGTATATAATATATATTTATACATGTATATGAAGAAAAAGAGAGGGAGCGTAAATCTTACGAAGCATATAAATAAAGTAACTTTTACTTTGGCACAGAATGTGATTATTAACTAATTTTATAACATAGTTACTGTCTATAATAAAATGATCTAATAAGTGATTTTCCTAATATAATAAATAAAGCTAATCAAGTTAAAACATAAATTCACTTAACCTTCATTAATAAATGAGTTTCTATTTTAGATTGTATGAAAAGATTTTTAATCTAACAACCAATCATTAGCCATACAATGTTAGTTAATATATCTTGTTACTTGTCGAGAACTTATCGAAATTACTGATATTTACCTAGTAAAATTGTGTAAAGAAATAATTTCTCATTAATTGAATTTCATACACTTATTTATGAATATTTTTAATTGAAATACACTTGAAGAGCAATTATTATTTTAATTAGTAGAGTGTCAAATCATAACCTAATATTTGTATGCATTGATGAATAATGTAAAGTTTTAAATAAAGAATACTTTCAGTTCAATAAAAGTGATATATAGTTTATAGTAAATTGATAGAGTTTATCTTGTGTTTGCCGTGGCTGTTGTTTCAAAGTAATTAAGTCTTCTCTTATACTGCGTAATATATAAATATAAAATAATAAATGAAAGAATATCGATCGTAATATTAAAATCTTTGTTTTGTGATTTGCTGGTAGATGGAGAACCGCGCATACGAGGATGAGGCGAACAAGTCAGCGCATCATCATCACCATCACCATCACCATCCTCACCAACAACTCAAGCAAACTCACAATCATCTTCAGCATTCACAACTGGACGAGTTTTCGTTTGACCGAGTCCAAATGTCCGACGCTACACATCAGCAGCAAATGCGCCAAAACCAGCAACTCATTCAGCCTCGCCATACACCAGACTGCCACGTGTACGAGGATATCGTCGCACCATATAGCTTATCCCTCGATCCAAGCAATCCTGGCGGTTTCCATAGGAATCTCACGTTGCCACTCCGAAGGACGAGTCAGAGCTGCGAATCTATCGAAGGCAATCCCACGAGTTCCTCAGTGCGCGTCACGAATAAAGAGCGAACTCGTGGCTCCGTTATCGATCGGCTCACCAGAGATGACAGATATCGGTACGAAAGTATTAACTTTGTTGAGCTTTGGTCAAATATGACATATTGTGCTGGAAGAAAATTTATTCATTAGAAATATTTAGTTACGTTGGCCGTATTGCTGTCGCAATAGGGCTTCAGTCAGATAATTCATTTTGCTCAATTAAAGTAATGATTGACAGTATAAAAAGTGCTTACAATTTTTATTATGAACGTTTCCTAAACCAATTCTCTATGAGCTACATTTGCCCGTCTCAAAAGTAGTTTTGCAATTTCAAACGCTATTATTCGCATTCACGATTCTGCCTCAGTCATACCATTCTCTTGACGTACTTCGTGAGATGTTTGTTTTCGTGTGTATCTGTTAGATCTCTTTAATAATTTATTACAAATCTTATTCTACACCGAGCGAGCCTTCGAAATATCAAAATAACGTATGATAATCGAGTTTAAAACACACGTCATCCCTTAATCCCAATTGCTCTAAATCGCCCGAACCGGTGCAAAAGGTGTCGTTATATCATGGTGATGGATTTTTCGTCAAAATTGTCTTTACGACTCGCTGCCAATGCAAAACCTGACCTTGATATTAACTTGCGCAGTGATAGCGGCCGCGACGACAGCAGCAGCACCGAGCGACCTGCGCGCCGACGCCGGAAGAAGGACTGCCGGCACTGTCGGACCAAGGCCTTCGAGCGCGGCATCGAGGAAGCCAAGCGTCGTGACGAGCTCGCCGTCTACGAGGAAAGGAGTGCTGAGCTGCGCGCCATTTTCGGGCTACCGGATCTTAGCCTCTGTCGGCTCGGACCAGGTTGCCTCAGCGCCGGGGTCGTCTATGCAATCGGCTGCAATGCAACCGACTGCAGTAATGGACTCGGTAAGTTACTACTCCGTGAATAAAATAGAATCGAGAAATTCGCAGGCATTTATAGCATCGCATGGTAAACAATGCAACTGATAAATTTTAGATTATAATACGTCAATGTAAGATTGTAAGGCTGCCTGTCGCATTATGAGCTGCAGTAAATTTTACATGCCCGATTTGAAAAATACTAAGTACATATATACGTATATTAGAAATTAAAAAGAAAGAACGAAAAAAAAATTAATTTTAGGACGAAAATTAAATTCTATGGTGTTATGCAAATTTAAAAATTGTAATACAAATTTAAAATATTCTGACACTAAGACACGTATTGAAATTCATACCCTTATTTTTACGATTATTACAATTGTTAATGTATTTATATTTTACTACAATTACTACAAGTTTAATTTTAGTTATTTAAAACACGATTGGTAATAAAGATTTTCTTTACATCACAATAACTTATATAAATTGATAGTATATCGTTAAATTTAAAAGATTTATTTGCATAACATAATATTTTATAATTATCGATAATAAATTTTCTTAATGCGATTGAGAAAGAAAAATTAATTTATGCTTAAATAAAGTGGCATTCATTGATCGGAATAAAAAAAGAAGAAAAGATTATTAACTTTAGAATAGCTGAACCGATGCCCATGCTTTGTATTTTATAAAAATGTAAAACCTACATAAATTAAATATGAAAAAGTGGAAAGTCAGCCTGTTAAAAAGGAAGCCGTTATAATTGTTTCGTTTAATGTTAAACTGAAATATTCTGCTCGTCAATTGATGATTGGATTTTCAAAGTCGTATAATCAATTTTACCTGACTTTGATATAGCGCTAATTCACTCTGAACGAGTGACGCGTCACACTGCACCAAGAAAAAAATGAAGAAAAAAAAAGAAGCGATTCAGGCTCGTTGTACATCCAGACATTCCGCTCTTTCGATTTAACAGCGCACGGGTCGCGCGGTTCGACAACTTCAGTTGCCCCGTCGAAACTATAAATCGCCGATAATGCATAGCAGGAGACACGCCGCGTGTGGCTCGAAGCTATGACCATAATGTAACAATTGCGAAAAAACTCTGCGCAGTGAGTGGCGACGGGGAGCCGACGACGGTGCCGAGGTTCGCCCACGTTCAGGACGGTGCCCTCGACGACAAGGCCCTCATTACCCCGCCCGGTACGAAAGGCGGTGGCGGCGGTGGTGGCGGTGGCAGGGCGGCGGGGATGAAGGTCAATTCGATCTATGCCCAGGAACACTGGCATGCCAAGGACTCGAGAATCTTCCTTAACGACCCCAAGGACCAGAACTGCGACTCTCCCTTCCAGGTGGGCCACCCCTAGACTCGTAAAACTTGACGCATCTCGTGCACGCGCGACTGCTTCTTTTTTCTTCCCCCTTTCATTTTCATTGGTTTGCGCCAGAGTCGTTTAAAGCCGAGCTCACGAGCTCTTAAACGGGATACCTGCTGAGTTTCTAATGATTTAGTAGTTTGCTTCTATTATCTATTTATTCAACAATCAGACCAGTATTGTTAACTCGAGGATTGGCTAATTCTAGATTATTTGATATTTAAAATTTTATAAAACGTGAATATTAAAAATTTTAACGCACCATTAACTCTATTTGTTTATCAAAGATTTGTATTGTTCATTTTTCCTCAATTCTAAGTTCCTCTATCTATTTAACTGAAAATTAGATATGTAACGAACTTTTATCTCAAAATTAAAAATTTAAATTTAAACAATGAACAATCGATTTATCACTCAATGAAAATATTAAATTATCATAATAAAATGTCAATTTTTATTCAAATATATGTTCGTTTATACATTCTTAACTTTACATAATAGAATTGCTTTTCTATAAAAAAAAAAAAAACAAAAAAAACAATGATATTTCTCACCTATAATACTTATGTTTGTACTTAATCTCATCTCGTTTAGAATCGTAGGAAACTTGAAGCAACGGTAGGCAACATGTTTTAATTTATAAATTGAGAATTATTCATGAAAATAAAGTAGATAGAAATAGTTCTACATTAGGGCAATTATTATCCAAGCGTCTACGAAGCCTACCAACATGTTACAAAAGCAAGGGATTAAAATTATTTAACAATCGCTGCAAGGACAATATAAAAAACATAATTTACGTTTTATGATCGCGCTCCATATTTTTTTATTAAATTTTGTAAAAACCTCTCGATAGAAATTTTTTAAAGAGTGCTTACTTTATACCTACGAGGGTAGATGATGTTTGGGAATGTTACAGCTTTATCGCTCGTTTAGTTTTTTGCTCATTTTATTAACAAGAAATCTTACACGCGAGAACTTGACGTGTGAAATTGTATGTTGAGTTTCTGATGATTTAGAGGACACTTAAGCGCCTTGTACCGGGGACCAGTATTTTATAATAATAATTTATTTAAATTAGTATTGCATATTTTCAAACTACTTAATTGTAATTAATGTTTTATGCATGTAATTTATTTTATTGCGTAATTTACAATATTATAGTATGTTTTTATTTTGTAAATATCAGAAAAAAATTTAAGAACCTGTCAAGAGAGAAGGCTGAATTTACTATAAAATTATAAACCTTATCACTTACTAAGTTTTAGAGAAATTATTTCATTAAAAATGAATGTAATAACTACGATCATGAATTAGAGGAAAGTCTTTACGAGTGAAGACTGGAGCTTTGAGACTCACCATAAAATTTTTTCTGATCAAAATGACTTCCTATGAAAAATTTGTATATCTATAAAAAAATTCGTGCAAATGTAGTGTAAGTAATTGAACAAATTTTGATAAGAAATTTCAATATAAGCATTCATTTAGAAAACTATCTCGAACAACGTAATTACATGTTAATTATAATTAATTATATGTTATCTTTTTAAACACATATGTTATTACATTAAATTTACATAAAATAATACATTTATTTTAATATAGAATAATGTCAAATATCTTGAAAATTTAGATAAATACGTGCAATATATTTTACGTTAAATAATTTTCACTATTAATATTTGAGTGATGATATTAATAATATAGAAACCCTTATATTAATGATTATATTTGAATAATATAATTTTTTAAATATAATAATTATCGTTGCAAATTGAATACAACTATATTTTATTTGTAACGAGTTAATAATTTTGTGTTTAAATAATATTGACTTATTATAAAGTAACAAATTTTAGGTTTAATTATACTGATTGAAAAGTCGTATATCTTAATATTTTGTTGTATTTAATACAATTTGAACTTGATATAAAATATCGCTAAAAAGAAGCATTTCATTTCATTCAATTTGCATAATAAGATGAAAATGTTCAATACAAAAAAATAAAATTTTTCAACTTTTTACTTTTATAGCACATGTTATCTAAATATAGTTTCTTGCATAGTTTTTGTCAGTATCGAAAATAATATCCGTTACGTCGATCGTTTCTTTTTTTTTAATTTAAATTCATAAGATCTTCGTGTCATAAGCAAGGTCATTCAATCATTATTAGTCAATTATAAAAAGATCCTCTTATAAAAAAGTTGCTATTCATCGTAGTTATAAAAGTATTGAATCGAAATCAACTTCGTATTAAGCATCTACGTACTTCTTTGAATCTTTGCGATTTCACCCTCGTGACTCTAGCTGACGAGAAGTTGAGCCGGTGTTCACTAGATGGCGAAAGCTAATTTAACGCATAGAAAGTCGACAAACCTTCGATCAAAGTATCACGCTTAAGCGTACAAGTATATCCTATGAAGCTCGCCAAAGCATACTTACCTGGCGCAGAGGCTACCGTGATCATGAAGGCGGTTCCTCCAGGGCGAGGCTCTTCCATTGCACTACGGTTGAGCTGACCCTTGCGAATATCCCTAATGTGGATATCTCGGGCGTATAATTTTTGTTAGCCGGGACTGCGTTCGCGCTATCCCGAATAAGTATTTTAAACATAATCTTTCTAATTTTTAAGATTCCTCTATCTTCTCTACTAATTGCTTTCATTATTAGTTTTTCTTTCCTATACCTTATCTGCATTTTATGAAAAGCATTATTTTCATGCATGGAGGGAGGGAGGGGGGGGAGGACTGTCTTTATTTTATATTCTTGAATTCGATATCCTATTGACTAGTTTTTTTAAAGAAAAACTAATCTAAAAATTGTAAAATTTCTTATTTTAAACAGGTATGTGTTTTCATTTATCATCACCCCATATATTTATATATATATAATAAAAAGATCTTTCAACATTATTTCTCCCTATCTTTATCTAAAAACGAAACGTAAATCAATTTTGGAAAAAAATTTTAATTACAAAATGCGATGAAATTTGTATACATTTATTTAAATACTGCCAGCTCTCTCTCTCTCTCTCTCTCTGTGTTATTATATATTGTGGTTCTTCTCTATCTATGAGAATCATTACTTAATAAATTTTACAGAACACGATATTACAATAATTTCTAAATAGTTTTTTGCTCGTTTCATTCGATAATACTTTGTGAGTTTAATTATATGTTTTACTGTTATCTTAATTAAAACTTATATTTTTCTGTTTCTTTATGCATTTAGTTACAAAAAATGAAACATGCATACATTTATATAAAATATTTATACATCTATAGAAAATAATAACTATTTTTGTAAAATAAGAATAAAATAGTTTCACAAGTTCATTAATATTTTTTCTTAATATTGCAACAGCTACGGTGATTGAGTAATGAAGTGGTTTTATAATTTAATGTTCAAAACTCTATTGGATAATTAATTTATGCTATGATTATTTTTGTAATAAGATATTCAAGAAGAAGCAATACACGAGCTACAATAAATAACTCTCGTATCCTACACAACATAATTTATGCAGAAAATTTACTTGTAAAATAGTAAATTATTAAATGGAGTTTTATATTCAATTTATAATTAATGATTTTCACATTATCATATATTTTTTTAACCTTGTCAATATTGTTTTACTACATTAAAATAATTGATTACTGATTATTTTTCTCATTAAACGTATATGAATCACGATGAACATGTACGGTTTATTAATACTTATAATATAGAAATGATTGTTCCATAAATTTTCTTTCTATAAAAAACTTTAAGACAAGTATATCAAATGTTTTACGGTTTTTGATCACACATTATTTTTGTTTGATTAAAAATACTTTGTCTTATTTGATACAAGGGTTGTAAACATCAAGATACAAAATTCCAAAAATATAGGCATTTATTATCATTAATGAATCATTTTCCTAATCAAACCTAGGTGCTTATAAAATTTTTATACATAACTATTTTATGTATTTTATTGTATTTTATTGTTTTTGATATATATATATATATATATATATATATATATATATATATATATATATATATATATACACAAAATATATATACTTATACAGAAGAAATTTATACTTCCTTCCTACTCGGATTTAATAAATCTTTAAGTAATAATGTTTATAAATATAAAATCAAATGTTCTTTTAGATTTAATAATTTCAAGGGTATTACAATTTATTATTGTACACTATTATAAGCTTCTATAAAGCATTTATTTTCTGAAGTTAATGAATATTAAAGAATAAATTATCTTTCATTGAATTGAGTCAGATGGGTTTTACGTTAGTGCTTCATTTAAAACAAAATCATAAGTGTACGGAGATTTTGTGTATTTCGTCATGATTTACAGTATAAATATAAACAAGAGTAACCTCGTACTTGAAGTCACTTCCTTTGTAATTCCTGCAATTCATTATTCATAATATTGTAAATGATTTTATTTTTCTAAATTTTAAAAATCTCTTAACGTTAACGAAGATAATTATTGTAAAATAAAAGCAAATAAATAAATTAAATTTATATATTAATCTTGTTTTATTTAATTGATTATTAGTGTACAAAATGAATTTTAAAATATAAAAAAATAAATAAAGACTGTAAATATAATTAATTAAAATAGAAATAAATTAATAATCAAATTATAATTAAAAATAGTGTATAGTAATGATATAAAAATTTCATAATTTAAAATAAAAATATTTATAAACATTATATTATTAGATATAATATTAGACAATATAATATAATATTAGATCACCCACTTTTATTAATTTCAAATATAAGGTGAATTAATATAACTACCAGTAATACTATCAATAAAAAATAAAAATTAAGGATTGAATATATACGTAATAGATATTTTATATTTTATGTATTTGAAAAATAGATTAAAGGAGTATAAATAAAATTATGAATGAACTTAATACAGAAGATGTAAGGTATTACCAAACTAAAGGAAACA